ACAATGTGCCCATAGTTGTTGTTCATCATGGCTGGCAGAAAAGCTCTTGTCGTCTTCAAAGTCGTTTAATCCAAGAGGCAAAAATGCAGGAGGCAGGAAGGAAGAGAAGAACAGTGTTTTCTCAGGCATATTCAGCACTGACCCTGAATATCAGTCATTAAGAGACTAATGCTTTGTGCTGCACAGCACCTCACAATCTGAGAGCCCCAGGGATACCTGTTCTCTGATCAGCTGGTGCATCTGGCAACCTGCTCTGCAAATGTTTCAGGAAGTCTGAAGCTATAAACAGGATCTCATTTTCACATCTTTTCTCTGCTGCTTTTTAGGTTCCAGGTCTCACCGGCAATGCTGAGAGTGTCTCACTCCCAGCACGTACAATAAAACACATGTCAACCTGCAGCTTCTCTTCAGCTGCAAACAAATACTGCTTAACAGCTGAAACCCCCCCACTCTGTAAGCCCCAGTACAGCTCTGACACATGCTGCACATGAGGCTGTCACCAGCCTGCTCAGATCAGCAAGAGGCTGTTCAAGTTTCCCAAGGGTGCCCCTGTGCTGTACACATCCAAATAGCACTTTGGTAACTCACTGGTAATAAACGTTACTTTAAATAGGTCTCCTCAATGGGTATGCCCTGGAGGTATGGAGATGGTAGTGGCCCTTACCCACATGTGAGCCAGGATGTTGACTTCAAACATTCTTTCTATCTGGTGGTCCTGAGTTGAGAGCAGGTCTGCAGCTGTGATCACACCAGCATTGTTCACCAGGATGGTCACATCCCCAATTTCCTTTTTCACCTTTTGGAGACAAAACAAAGGCCCAGAAGTGTGTCTGTCATTCATTATATAAAAACCCCAAATAAAAAAATGCAAGGCTGCAGAAGATGAGCAATAATTAATTTATTTCTTACCATTATTTCTTTTATGGAGAGGAAGATCACAGTACCTTTCTAGATGTGGCAGAAACTGTGAGGTAATTACCATGAGATCTAGTTTAGATCTGATTCTTCTCCCTTAAATAATTACTGCCAAAATTTATTGTCTTCCACACATTGCGCACACACACAGTTTGGACTGTGTAGTCACAGCTGGGACTAGGGAGGTACAGACAGTTTTGAGCCAGCTGGACCATAACCTTTACAATAAAATGTTTCATATGTCCTCAGTGCTGCCTGTGTTTCTTCAGAGGCTGGAACTCTCCAGAGCAAACTGGGCAGTGAGGAATGATACCCTGGAGCCTCACTAAAGGGTGTGATCTTGCAAATGCCTCACCACTCTGTGTACAGAGAGCAGCGAGGAGTGGGGAGGTTCCAAGGCCTTCCATGATTTGCGTGCAATGTCTCTTCTCCAGCTGTCCCGGCTTTTCTGGAAATGGAGTGTGTTTGGGTGAGCCTCTGTCCATGCCCCTGCTGCCCTACCTTCTCTGCAGTGCTGTAGATCTCCTCCCGTTTGCTGCAGTCCACCACAAAGGTTTCAACAGTGGCCCCCAGACCCTTGCATTCTGCTGCCGTCTCCTCAACGCCGTGCTGGAAGGGGCAGAAAAGAAAGACACTCTTGCACAACTGTGCCCTGCTGAAGATGTCTCTTAATTGTGTCACCACTGCCAGGCCCCTGAGCAGTTCACAGCCACCCAAGGTCAGAGCTGTAGGTGGGATCCTTGGGAGGACAGCTACTCCAGCCTTAAATTTTGGACCTGTGTATACTGACTACCAAAAAGGAAATAATAGAATCATAGAATGACTTGGGTTAGAAGGGACCTTAAAGATCACCTCATTCCAACACCCCTGCCATGGGCAGAGACACCTTTCACTAGATGAGGTTGCTCAGAGCTCCATCCAACCTGGTCTCAAACACTTCTAGGAATGGAGCATCCACAGCTTCTCTGGGCAACCTGTTCCCATGCCTCACCACCCTCACAGTAAAGAATTTCCTGCTAATATCTTATCTACACCTATTCTCTTTCAGTTTGAAGCCATTCCCCCTTGTCTTGGCACTACATGCTCTTGTAAATCATCTTGCTCCATCTCACCTTTTTCTAGGCTTCCTTTAGGTACTGGAAGGCCACAATTAGGTCACTCCAAAGCTCTCTCTTTTCCAGGCTGAACAATCACAATTCTCCTAGCCTGAGGAGTGTAGCAACAAGAGCGAGTTTGCCTTGGTAAGGCACACTTAACTAGGCTGCAGAAAGTGGGCACACAGTGCCTATCACAGCACAGCAGGCAGACACCGTGAGTGTAAACAGAGCTCCTCAAACACGGCCTGTCTGGCACCCAAGATATGAGAAGTTTTATGTGTGAGAGGTTTTATGTGTTTCTGTATTCACAGACTGGGTGTGAGAAGAGAGGTGCCCTCCACAGTTGTATTGGGTCTGTCCCTATAGCAGCCTCACAGTGCTGTGCTTTGCGTTGGTAGCCAGAAGGGTGTTGATAACACACCAGTGGTTTGGCTAGTGCTGAGCAGCACTGGCACAGCATCAGCACTGTCTGTCCAACATTCCCCTCCCATCAGTAGGCGGGGGGTGGGCGAGATCCTGGGATGGGACACAACTAGGACAGCTGACCCAAACTGACCAAAGGAATATTCCAAACCACGTGATGTCAGCTCAGATATAACAGCTAAGAAAAGAGGAAGGGGGGGGTATCCGTTTTTTATGACGTTTGCCTTATGGAGCAACTGCTACGTGTGCTGAAGCCCTGCTTTCCAGGACGTGGGTGGACATTGCTTGCAGATGGGAAGTAGAGAACAAAATACTTTTATTTCTCTTTGCTTGCGCATGCACAAAATTTCGTCTCCGCTTTAGTAAACTGCCTTATCTCAGCCTGCAAGTCATTTTCCATGCTGTTTTCTCTGGCCAGTGCAGCTGAAAAGGGGGAGTGGATTGCTGGGCACCTGGCGTCCAGCCAAGGTCAAACCCACCACACCAGTGCATGAAGTAGAAGGACATTTCTTATGGAATGGCACTTGACACACACAGAAGAGAAGCTCATCCATCAACCCACTAAAACAGGGAAGAAGTGACTTGGGCGTAGCCTTGTCCCCAGGTGCCAGAAAGCCATGCCAGTGGTGGCCTGTGCAGTGAAAGGCCCCAGGTCACAAATAGCCTGGGACAGCTCAGCACCTGACATTACCTGTGCAGGTCCCTGCAGTGGGTGATTGGGCAGCTGCCCTCAGTCCTGGCTGCTGCTTAAGGCTGAGAGCCCCCAGGAAGGAGGCCTTGGACTAGGCAGCTGGACTGGAGAAGCATAGTCCTAAATCCTCTGGAATCCACCATTCCTTTGGTATCGTATATCAGTTCCTCCTTACACCCACCCTTACAGTCTATTTCCCAGCACCACAGCCAGGTGTCGCTCGCTACTAAATTTATTCCTTAATCCCTGAATTCCATCCAGAGAACATGGACAATGCTCTCCTTTGCTGTAGCCCTGTACACATCAGAAGAGCAGTGCTGTGCCTCCTGCCACACCTCCAGTGTCTGGTCTTAGCTATAATGGGCAGCACGAACAAACACTGAAAATGTTCTACAGTACCTTCCCTGTTTATACAACCCCTTATCCTTGGTCTTGGATTTTGTGGGGGTTTCTTTGTTTGTTTGTAGTGGGCTGGGTTTTGTTTTTGCAGCTTCAGGACCACAGGATGAACTCCTCTCCTGACCCACTGTGTCAGAAACCTTTCCCACTCTCTGCTCTCCAACCTCTCACCCTCTCTGTACAGCTGCTTGCACCTACACACACTTGGCCTTGATCCCTACTGACTGCCAAGATGCACATTTGTACCTGTCCATCCTCCACTTGCCAAGGTCTTTTTGCGTTCCAGTCAAATTATCTGAAACACTTTGGGCCAGTATGAACATTCAGCAAGGAGCCATCTACACTTGTAGCTGCCCCAGAGGGCAGCAGGGCTCACACCCAGCTCAGCACAGCAATGCTGTCGATACGAGTAAAGAGAAAACACACCCTCCAGCAATGTATGCAAAACGCCTGAGGCCAGAGACGCTCAGCGGAGGCAAACCTGCTCCTCAGTGGAAGCAGGCTGCTGGTCTCGGCGTGCTCCGCCTGCCAGCCCGGGCAGCGGTTCCAGCAGCAGCTCTCGGAGCACGCACTTCCCTCTCGCAGGGGCTCTGCCAGGCGGTGCCTGCTCCCTCGCTGAGCAGTGCCGAGGAACTGCGGGACCCAGAGCCCTCCATCCTCTGCTGCCAGCGGGGCCAAACCCTCTCCTGGCGCTCAGCGGGCCAGTCAGAGCCGGCCGTGAGCCGACGGCAGCGGAGGGGGAAGGAGCTGCTGTGGATGCAACCTGACGATGCCCTTCTTACGCTCTTGAACCCCATCGGGCTCGGAGGTGAAGGAGTGAGGACACAGCTGTGCCATTACCTTGCTGATGTCCCAGAGGACCAGCCTGCTCTGGCGCTTGGCGAACTCGAGGGCGGTCGCTCTGCCGACGCCATGGCCAGCACCCGTGATGAGCACAAGCTCTCCGCTGACAGACTTCCTCCTCACGGGGACAAACAGCTTCAC